TCTGCGCCCTTGTACGCGCACTCACGAGCCATCTCGGGAAACATGCCGTCGTGGCAGATGATCAGTGCGAGCTTGCAGCCGTTGGGGCCGTCGACGACCGGCACGCCGAGGTCGCCTGGCGCCCACGGCTCAACCGGCACCCATGGATGCAGCTTGCGGTAGTAGAGCACCTCGTTGCCGTCGGCGTCGAAGATCAGGCCCGAGTTGAACGGGCTCTCTGGCGCGGCAGGGTTGCGCTCCATGATCGAGAAGCACCCCCAGATTTTGTGTTGCACACAGGCCGCTCGCAGCCGCGCGACGATCGGGCCGTCGCGCTCACACATGATCTCATCGCAGACGTCCATAGACAGGCCGTGCAGCATGTATTCGGGGAACACGACGAGGTCCATAGAGGTGGAGCCGCGCCGCGCTTTGCCGACGAGAGCGCACACGCGGTCGACCTGAGCGTCGAGCTGGTCTTTCGTTTCGATGACGGGAAGCTGCAGCTGGCAGAGCCCGACGACCACGCCGTGGGGCGACTTGTTGAGGCCGCCGAGGCCGCTCGACATGCGTAGAGGTGGTGGGGTACAGCTGGAGCGGCGATTTTTCTTCTTTCGAGCTGTGTTGAGAGTTCAGGGGCAACCCCCGCCCGGCTCGTATATAGGTCTAAAGGGGCGTGCGGATCCTTAAATTCTTCTTCAGTCCCGTGTTTAGTGTTGTGAGAGAGAGTTTAGTTGCACCTTCAAAAATTCTTCTTTCTTTGAGAGAGAGATTTTTAGCAATACCTTAACAATACCAAACAACTCTAACACTCACACGTCATTTGGGGCCTGGAGCCCTGTTCACGCGCGCGCGAGACGTGCAGACAGGGTTGCCAGGTGAGAGCGAATGGCGCGGTTCACGCCTCGCACAACAGAGAGAGAGATGCGCTCTGCATGGTGGGACATAAAAGAGAGCGAGTACTCGGGCGAGTAGGCCGTGCGGTCAACGCTGCCGCGCGCGACTTTGCGCGCGAGGCGGCGCAGCTTGAGAACGGCGGTGGGCGAGAAGCCGCCGCCGAACGTCTCGTGGAGCAGCAGGTTGAAGTTGTTGCGCTTGACAAAGATCGCGTCGTGGTAGAAACCGCGATGCGCGCCTTCACGTAGCCGTGGCCGGTCTTGTGGGAGAAGGGTTGGCCGGGCTGCCAGCGCGCCTTGCAGCCCACATGTTTAGGCGGCGGGCCTTCTCTTCGGTGTTGCCAAAGGCGTAGGAGTGGCCAACGGAGGCGGGCGTGCCGCCACTCGAGGCGTTGCCAACGCCCGGCGAGGAGGTCTTGAGGAGGGGCGCACAGAGATGATTTCATTCACTTCATCGCACCCCCCCGGTCCCGCATGGGGTTCTGCGAGGTCGGTCTTGTACCCCTCGTTGTACTGCCGGGTGAGCTCTGGTTTCTCCTTGTCGCCGTGCACGACCGGCGCGTTGGCCGGGGCGCGCATCGCCATTAGATGAGCTCTTCAATCACAACACAGGGCAGGACAAAAACACAAGGATCCGCAAGCGGAGTACTCTGAGAGCACCCAACCAACAACCACACGCAAGCGCACTAGCTGACCCTACCTAGGGCCCGCCGCACTCTCGCGACCCTCGCACCGCCTGCCCCCCCAAGAGCTCATCGCCTCTGCGCTGTGGCTGCGCAGCCCCCACTACACCGGCTGGCGCCGTACACGTGAGGGTCCCGTCTCCGGAGGTGAGACTGTATTATCCGCAGCGATAGAGCCAAAGCTCCGCGCTCGCCACGCCCCGACGTTCAGTCGTTGAACCTCAATCCGTTGCCTCAAGCCCCCACCTGCCAGCGCGAAGGCGTGTCGAGGGTCGCACTAGTTTTTTTGTTCTTTGAAGGCAAAACAAAACAACGTGTTAGAGTTGTTTGGTATTGCTAAAAATCTCTCTCTCTTGAAGGCGCGTCCTTCCTTTCAAAGGACCGACCGTGAACGGCGGCGTGAGCGCCTGCCTGCCCGAGCGTGTCGCGCTACAGTTGTAGCGTGGTCGGCGTTGCCCTGTCCTCGGCCTCCTCGCACTCTCGCTAGCTGAGAGATCTCTGTCGTTCTCCGAGCCCTGGCAGCTGTCTGTCTGTGGGCCCGGGTGGGTTTTTTGCGGTGTCTGAACGTCGCGCTGCTGTCCCCTGTGAATTTATTTATCTTTTGCCCAAGCCTGAACTCCTCACTGTATCGCTCAGAGTGTCCCTTGTAATGTGAGAGAATGTGTTGTGTTCTGGTTTGCTATCCGCTTTCTCTTTTTGGGTCAAGAACCAGCGAGCGGCAGATGTCATCTTACGCTCGACCACAGTGGTGGGGTGCCTGTGCTGAGTGTCTTGTGTGTGTGTGTGTGTCGTCTGTGTGTCGCGCTCGCGCGTGTCGTCATCTTCTGCCTCGCGTCCACCCATACCGCGCTGGTGTCCAGTCCGGGCCTGACTGTTCTTCACCTTCCTACCTAACCTAACCTGCCTTGTGTCGCCTAGTTGCGCGGGTGCGCGGTCGCGCCCCTCTACCCTTCATGATTCCCACACCGACGCCGTCGTGGGATCGCTTGTCATGTGACAGAGTGCGTTTTGTTCTTGGGGTCCTCCCATCCGCCATCCCCTCCCTGCTCCCATCATCTGAGAGTGAGACCTGTCGCCATCGCTACCATCGCCTCTCTGAAAGCATCGCCTCTCTGGAAGAAAGAATTTCACAGAAACAACTCTCTCTGCTCTCTCACAGCGACCGGCTCGCACGCCGGAAAGCTTTTGTGTGTGTGCCGGTGTGTGTGCCAGTCCGCGCCAGTCTGCGCGCGCCCAACGGCTCGGCGAGGCGATGGCGCGCGTCGCAGCCGGCCTGGCACGGCGGCGCGGAGGGCGCTGTCCCCGTCGCGGTGGATCTGAGCTCGCTCGCCCCTCCGTGGCAGCCTCGCCCAAAGCCGTCCTCGCGCAAGGCTCGGCGGACCGTGCCGGCGGCGCCCGTCTCCATGGCTCCCGGGCCGCCATGGCTCGCCCCGGACGCGTTCCTTGCCGACGGGAGCTGCGCCCACAGGCGATTCCCCCCGTGGCCGGGCGCTCACCGAGTTTGGCTGGTGGTCGCTACTTCCGCCACTCGAGCTGTCGCCCGGGGACAGCTTGGCTCCGGCGCCTAAGCCGTGGGGCGGTGCCACCGAGGGCGAGTACGGGGAGGCGCATCCGTTCAGCTGCGAGCCACCGCCGGCCCCTCCTCTTCCGGGCGCCGCCTCCTCTTCACCGCACTTGGGCGGCGCTGCTCCCGACGCGATGCACGTCGATGAGGCCGGGCCGCATCCAGGCAGCGCCGCCGCCTTTGAGGACGACACCGCGGCAGCGGGGCCCTAGGAGCGGGGCCTTCTCGGCCGGGCGTGGAGCAAGCCCTCGCGCCGCCATCCTCCGACGAGGAGGAGAACGAGCCGCGGCTCAAACTGCAACGCCACCGCGACAAGGCCCGACCGCGGCGCGGGCTCGTCCTCCTGTCCTCGTCCGACGACGACGACTTTGAAGAGGCCGGACCGCCACGCGGCTCACGTTTCGCCGCCACGCGGCTCACGTTTCACGAGCGAGAGCCAGCTGGCGGCCGAGCTGGCCGACGCCGACCCAGCGCCATCCGGCGGGGCACACCTGCAGACCCTCGGGTGGCACGCGCGGGAGCCGCCGCCGCTGGTCGAGATCCTGGCCGAGCACTGGCGGGACGGCCCCGGCGGGCCGCAGGGCGCGCGTGCAGGAGCCAGCTCGAGGTCTCACCGCCGCAAGAGCTGGGAGTCCAATGTCGACGCACCGCACTTTGGTCGCGACAAGCGGCAGTCGCGCGTGCACGGGCTGGTGTTTGAGCAGCAGTCGGGCTTCTCGTACGAGCTTCCGCCGGGCGCGATCGACTTCAAAGCGCGCGAGTCCTTCTCCACGATGCTGTCCATGGATGGCGGG